GCACTACATCGACGAGTGTATTACAAATGGAGAAGGTGGGTATGTCTCTGTAGCAAATTTATCTCAACACGAAATTGAGGTCTGAAATTTTGTCTGGTTGTATTATTTGTTTCGAAAATAAGTCCTCTAATAGTTGCTTGACCATTTTGTCTATAAAAACAAAAATTAGTAAATTGTTCACTGAAAAAGATTTGTCACTGAATTCAAATCTGAGTTTCGATCAAGGTAAAAAAAGTTTTGCTGAAAATACTGGAGAAATGGGAAAAACTGATGTCAATAAAATGTCAATATACCTTTCGGACGACAGCTCAGTAATTTATCGACCATATCGTTTAACCTACAATGAACGGAAAGTTGTAAGAGATATGGTTGATGATCTCTTATGTAATGGCCTAATTGGAGAATCGGATTCACTTTATTTCGGTCCAATTCTTTAAAAAAAAAAAGAAAAACGGCGAGTTGCGCATGTGTGTGGATTATCGTTCACTGAATTCGAAAACCATTAAGAGACTGGTTTCCTCTTCTCCGTGACGCATTGGAGAAAAATTAAAAGGCTCTCAATATTTTACGAGTCTGGACTTGGCCACTGGATACCACCAGATTCCAATTCCAAAAACTGCGTTTACAACACCAGATGGACACTAGCAATATTTGAGAGTACCATTTGGATTGTGCAATACGCCCGCAATTTTTCAAAGGACTATTGATAGGGTTCTTGAAAATATTAGATACGGAAAGGCATTAGCATACATGAACGACGTATTACACTTCCTTCTTCAAGTTTTGAAGTACCTAGGTCTTGATAAGTTGGAACAATTTTTACTTTCCCTTCAAAGCGCTACGGTCTGACTTTGCGTTTGACAAAATGTTATTTCTTTACAGAAAAGGTCGAGTATTCAGGACTTAAAATAAGTGAAAGCGGAGTGCAGCCAGGTTTTAAAAAAACTGAAGCCATGCAGCTGTTTCCAACACCGACCGACATTCATTCTGTAAGGCAATTTCTGGGACTAGCAAGTTACTTTAGAAAGTACATTAAGGATTTTGCTACCATCGCGAGACCCTTAACGTTTCTAACGAAAAAAGATGTCAAATTTGGTTGGAATTTGGAACAACGTTTCGAGATATTCAAAATCAAAAACAAACTGATAGGTACCTTTGTTAGCAATCTATGACCCACAACTTAAAACGGAAGTGCACACAGACGCATCAAAATTACGTGTTGCAGGAATTCTATTACAAGTGTACAACAAGATAATTCTCTGAAACCAGTAAAGTTAGTTGCATGGTTCTAAAGCTATATGACGTCTGAAGAGGCAGAGGGGAAAATTCGCTATTGCGGCGTTGTCATATCAATAATATTATTACATAAAAATTGCAATGAAATCTCCTTCGTCTCTGAAATGTTTCCAGAACATTTGTCACACAAGAACCCATCTTGGTTATCCAGAACCTGTTTATTATACATATTACAAATCTCACAGATTTCCGTTACTATTGCCATGTTGGTATCCACTAAATTGTAAACAAGTCCACGTTTATGCGAGTAATTCCTAAAATCCATTCACAATAAATCCAATAAAAATCATACTTAGACCTCGAGTCTAGCCATGAAATTCATACGGTACTATTTTAACACCTTTTCCAACCTCCATACAAAATTCTATTGACTCAAATCCCGTCGAAATATGAAAAACTACCGCCGTAACAAATAAAAGAGCATAAATATTCAAATATTCGCATTTCTATTCATCTTGGACTTCGAGTCTAGCAATGAAATTGATACGGTAATATTTTTACACCATTTCCAACACCCATGCAAAATTCCATTAACCCAAACCCTGACGAAATATGGAAAACTACTCTTAAAAAATAAAAATGCATAAATATTCAGATTATCCTATTTTTTTTTAACTTATTGGACATCTAGCCATGAAATGTATAAAGTACTATTCTATCACCGTTTCAAAATCTCATGCTAAATTCCATTGACTGAAAATCCGTCGAAAATTCGAAATATGAAAAACTACCCCCTCAACAAATAAAAATGCGAATGCATATTCAGATTTTTTTATTTCTGAATATTTATGCACTAGGGGGTTGGAAATTGGGGTAAAATAGTACTCCATAAATTTCATGTCTAGGCTCGAAGTTTAAGTTGGAAAAAAATACAAAAATCTGAATACTTATACACTTTTTGGGGGTTGGAAATACAGGTAAACTAGTACCCTATCATTTTGATGGCTAGACTCGAAGTCCAAGTTAGAAAAAAATACAAAAATCTGAATATTATGGCGCTAATCGTTGTTTGAGTGTTTGTTTCTTCATACCGGTAGTCGATGATGTTATTCAGAAACTTTTGTCCAAAACTTCGTGTTGACAAAATCATATTTCAAGAGCTTAAGCATAAGCTGACGACAAACTTCCTGATAAATGTCTTACAAGACGTTTAAATGGGAACCATTGAGGATCCTACAAAATGTGGACTGGAAAAAAGTCAGACAGAAATTTGACAATTTCTGGATGCCTTATTAGGTACCTACTGCTCGACTTTGAATACCTGAAGAAACTTAAGTAGAGACGTATCACGAGATGTCGAATTTCTAGGAAACAATGAGTTCGAGGATCGAGATTGTTATTTTTGATACGTATGAAGCTTCTGAAAGTTGCCGAAGAGAGACGGCCGAAGTACCGGAAAGCGAATTCAGACCAATAAGAGACGCTGTGGAATTTGAAACATTGAAACTATACAGAAAAATATATTCAACAAGATGAAAATGAAATGATGAAAATTTCGAAAAAATGAGACAGAAAAGCATACAAAAAAGTTCTACACAGAATGACCAAGAATCATGAGTAATATTTCCAAGGGAATATTGAGAAAATGATTGAATTTGAAAAAAGCTGAGGAACACGTGGAAAATGATGAGATTACATATGAAAATGTCCGCTACATTCGTAAATATAACAAGAAATTTTCGAATCCACTTTTGACGAACTTCAAGAAAGTGTCGTTTGAAGTAAAAGACATCCAAATTTCGAAAAGATTGAGTTGCAAACCATGATTATTTTAAAAGTATGTACCCATGTAATTTATTTTTTTTTAGTAAATTTTTAATCAATATTCTTTTTTTTTTGTATTTCAATGAACAAAATTCATCAAAATTTACTATATCAACTTAACTTAAATAAACAAAAAAAAAATACCTTTCACAACTTTCTTCATCTTTTTTATAAATTTTTCCATCTTCTGGTAGGTATAATAATGTATCCAGTGGATAGTATTTGTCGATTTTTTTTGCCAAAAAAAAAACAAATTATTCCTAAGGTAACCCTTTTCACAACTATTAAACCAGTAAAAATCACAAGCGGAATGATTGAATTATATAGCAACAATACACAACTAAACACTAAACATTTACCAACCTTTATCACAGTTTGCCAAAAAAAAATAAATACTGATAAATAATATGGTTTATTTTATCATGATAATCTAGAAGTGCATACTTTTTGTTGTAGGTACCGAACATTTCTGGGTTTTATTACAGAATGATAAGTCGCAAATCTAACTAGCAAAGAAATATCAGATAAAGTTTGTTTTTGATTAAAGTCAATATTAATACATTTCATAATACTTAAAAAGATATTAGGGAAGGGTGCAGAGTTTTGGATAAATCTTTGAGAACCCATCATATTTATATTCTAGTGATGCTTTTCTGGTTCCTCTCATTATATTGTAAGGATTGTATTCCGTTTTTGTCTATGGTAGGATATAGAATATCACCAAACACCATCGAATTGACAATAAAATAGCAATCTCGACGATGTCTCAAAACTCAGAATGATGTAGGTACCTCAGACAGTTGGAGGTAAACACAAATAAAATCTATTTTTCAACGAAAAATTCCAAAGGAAATGAACGGGGATCATCCCCAATGAATAAAATAGACTTGATGAGATATCATCTACTTCAATATCTACAAATCCATGCCATTCACATTATATCTACATGAAGTGACATAAAAGAAACATTTAAAAAAGTATCATAGAAGGGTGAAGGTATTGGCACCATTATTTAGAACGTAACGAGTACTACAATATGACCACAAAATCCAAAAAGTCCCTTACAAGTTACGAACATATAATTTCAAAAACTTTGAGAAGCATTGGGGTTTACGACCTAAAATAACTAAAGAGCGATTTTTTGGGGTTTAACGTGGGAAAAAATTGAGGAAAATATGGTAATTTTTACCTATATTGACACTACGATATTAGCTAATAAACAAGCTTTTGAAATAATAGAATGTTATGATATGATATAAGTGTATAAGAGAAAGTTTGAAGCATGCACGACATATTTCAAAACCGGACTTGCAGCGGAGTGTTTTGTAAGTCGCAAGGGTTTTAAATGCTGTTATACAAGCATATCATATACGCTATTTTTTATTACGAATGCATCATAATCCCAAAAATGTTTTAAATGTGTGCATTCATTTTGATAAATGGTAATTTAAACGGCAGGTAAATATCTAGGTAATAAAGGTATAGATCCTCGGTACCTACCTTATGATTTAGATTTTGGAAAACTTTGAAAGGTCATAACTTTTTTTCTATTATATATAGAAAAGTGAAACTTTCACTGAATTTTATCTTAATGAAGGGACTACAATCCCAGAAAATTTAAGCTCATTTGCACGTATAGTTCCTGAGATAAAATCGTGTTAAGTAATTTGTGGTGATTTATCAATTTTTCTGAGTGCCTTTTTTCAGAAACTTTCACTGAATTTTTTCTTAGTCAAGGGACTACAATCCTTCAAAATTTCAGCTCATTTGTACTTATAGTTCCTGATATAAAATCGTGTTAAGCAATTTGGGGTGATTTATCAATTTTTCAATTTTTCTGAGTGCCTTTTTTCATAGATTTCGGCTTCAAATCTGAGAATAATTTAGTGTATGAAGTTTGGGGGATATTGATGGACCATTAGGATACAATATTAACTTACCTATGTCATCCCAAGTGATCAGTTCTTCCTCAACTACTGCTCTCGGATTTTGATTTCGAGGCGCCGATGGATTTTGTTGAGGCGGAAGATATTGAGATCGTAGACGCGGAGATTGAAATCGTTGAGGCACAGGATTTCTATTAGTGGAATACTGAGGATTTGGCTGTTTCGGCTTCGAGTTGGAATCTGTATTTCCCATCGAAAAACGATGCGGAATCTATAATGAAAAATATACTGGGTACTTGTGTACCATGCAAGTTAAGTTAAAAGTACAGTATTATTTGGAAACATAACTTTCACTAAAACAATAATATGTAATACGTCATTCGTTTGACAAAAATTTTACAGCATTCGGTTCAAAATTTCAAAAGTTGATTTTCCAGACTGATAACGTAAATATCTATTGTCTCAAAATTAAGTACAGGGTATTTCAAATTCGAGCCACAGCATTATAGTCAAGACCAACTACCAACTCTTGAAAAATCATTTGTTTCGGCATAAATATTGATTCTCTCTGTTTTGAGAAAGATATGTAGGTTTAGTTAGGATTCTATATAAAATCCAGATTTTGTTCAAATAGGTGACATTTAATTAACTGGGCTTTTTAGTATAATAAGGAAATTGAAAGTCACAAAATTTCCTTTAAAAATAAGACTTCAAAGTTACATGAATCTCTTCTAGAAACTTGCAATGGTCAAAACTCAAGATTCTGTAAAAAACTCTTGAACATACATACAATGCTATTCATGAAAATCGAAAATCTAAAAAATACATAAGTAACTTATTATGTATGACTTCTTATAATTTTCAAAATTTTATACCTTAAATGATATGGCTTTTTTGGTCTACCTACATAGAGGAAACGGCCAACAAAAGGCAACTATATATCTATATAGCAACTACCACTTGTCCTAAATAAGAAATTAATTTGTCAACACAACAGATTGAGGTAATACAAAAATAATAAATAAATAATAATGCAACTTACCAATCGACAAAAGTGATTTGCGCTGTACGTACGCCTGTTATTGTTTACTAATAATGCATCTACTTAATGCTTGCGATTCGTTTTATAGTTTTATAAATAGTACTGAACTACTCGAAAGTACCTACAATCAATTAGCACGTTAGCGAAAAGTACCTACTGACTGATAACAGATAGATGCGTAGGTAGCGAATTTCAGTGTTTCACCTTTGGGATTTTTAGTACCTACTTCGGTACTTTTGTGGATAACACAGACCTTAGACACAGGCACAGTGTACCGAGTACAGGGAGATCGAACAGAAAAATAAGGGTTTGGCTATAGCACTTGACTTATTCGGACTCCCGACTAGACGGAATGAGAAAATTTAATTTAAATTCCATTGTACTGAGACGGTACTCAATTGTACTAGATGCATGGATTTTTAAAATTTTTTGTCTGAAAATAGAGATTTTTGACTAGGTATTAGAACATCAGGACGCTTTTCTTTTTTGGTTAAATATTAAATAAAAATACATTGATATTTAAATGCTCTAGTCTATACCGGTTTACTTTTATTTGGATCCAAATTTCGGTATAGGTACCTAAGTCTACAAATAAAATGTGACTATGTGTATGTAGGTATTTGAATTATGGTTTCAGGCAAAATTTAGTAAAGAGAGATTTAGGACGGAACCAGTAACCCGATTCACCAAATTAGAAATCGAGCACTTGGTAGAATAGGAGAAAATTCTAAAGATGACACCCTTTACTGGTGCGTTGGAAATTGAGAGAGAAATAGAGGATATGAGGAGAAAAGCAAATCAGAGTAAACAAGATTACAAAAGTTCACAAACAAAAGTTAAAATAAGATTCCGGAAAATAAAAAAAAAATATATGTAGGTAAGAAAATTCAGGAAAGAAACATCTAGAAGAAGGACGAAGAGAGATTCAAAAGTTACCTTCGATGAGACCAAAACTATTGGCTCCCCGATATCTCTGACACTTCCTCCCTGCCTCTGATTAAAAAAGTTAGAGCCTACTAGCTAAATACCAGAGAAATGGAGAACTTTCATAACGAAACACAACTGCGACAATAATAGAGGTACTTCTCTGTTTCTGATGTTTCTGTGCCAGTACGTTCTGAGTAGAACCTATGGCGAAATAAAAAGATCAGAGTTTAGAACGAGTACAAAGGTATGGAAGTAGAAGTAGAAGAGCAAGCAAGAGATAGACAATTTTGTACATTGAAAACCAAGGCTTTATTATGGCAGATGTACCTTGGAGCACCTATTGGAGCATATTTGATCAGGTTGAATGTGTAATTCTATGGGAAATTTTACATTCAAAACCTTAGAAACATCAGACAGAAAAAAAGAAGCTTCCATTCCATTCTAAACAAAAAAACCCTTTGATAAAATTTATGTATGTACGTAGCCCCCCCTGCTGCAGTTCAATATAAAATTCCTATGAAAATACTTGACAATAAGATAGCATAAGCACATAGCGACATTCCAAAAAATTAGGTGGACAAACGGTATTTTCGCGTCAGACCTTAACATGTCCAGATTGAGGTATGCCACTGGATTCCCTTGACAAGACCCATTGTGAAAGAATATCTTGGCACCCTGGGACGTGGTGAGTTGCCTCACTAGTCTCAGTATCTTGCCGTTCTTGAAATATATTCTCAGAAATTGAACTTTGCAGGTTCTATTCTTACCGATGTTTAACATTTTAAAATTAATTCTCTAATGCAACTTTCGACTTTATGACGAAAGAGATTTTGAATAAATATACATATTATATATTAATTATAAAAATTTACTATTGGGTTATTTTTGGCAAATTTAATAGGACTTAAATTTTTATAATCTATCTTCTATGTATATAAAAATTAATGCCACTTTTCGTTGTAATTTTATAACTCAAGAACGGGCTCACCTAGCCAAACCAAATGTTTAGGCTTTGTCCGGACTATTTATTAGATGGTTTATGTGAAGTTTGCACAAAATCGGTCGAGCGGTTCTTCATTTATCACATTTTTTGTAATAAATAATTTATTCAATAAATGGAGGATCATTTTGTTAATAGGGGATTTTGCTGTCAAATTTAAACTTTTTCCAGCGTTGACAGTACCAGCATGTTGTTATGTCATTAATGTGGTCATTTCATTACTTATTTTATTTATTTATGAAAAAAATTTACTAAGCACGCATACTGCGCCATCTCTTATAACCGATACCAAGTTTATTTTGTATTTTGTATTTTGTATACCGCGACATCTCTGATACCTGGAACGAAGCTCGGCATTGCAGATACAGTAGAACAATGCTGCTCATGAACTGGAGCTATTTCGAACAGAACTATTCCACTATTCCGATCAGATGAGTGGTGCAGAATAGAGTAGTGCAGATAGAGTAGAACAGATGGAGTAGTGCAGTGCATGCAGTGCAGATAGAGTGAAACAGGGCGGCGCTAGAATTTTTTTTTGTTTTCTTTACATTCTTTGTACACTTCACAAGAATAATGCCTACAAGCTGCCTAAAAAATGATGATGTAAAATTTTCCAGAGAGTAAACATTAATTTTCTTCAACCAAAGCCAAATTCACCATCGAAAAAAACTTAATTTAATTCAGCTAATAGATACGTTAACACATTTAATAGGCATATTTAATAATTCAGAGGCGGTACCGAAGTTCGCCGGGTCAGCTAGTTTACTATATAGGGCAACGATATACACTCCGATATTATATACTATATATGTATATTATATAGTCTGTCTGTATAATAAAAACGCCATTTTGATAGAACAAATACCTAACAATCTTATCTTATTTCAAATTATTGTACCCTAAATAGTACAATTATCGTTCGCACAGTAGTACCGCGGATGTTTGAACATTAGCGTGGAGCCGAACGACAACAGCCGATTGATTACGTGTAAAGGTCTGGGCACACATGACCGCACCGAGTCCGCACCGAGCCCGCACCGAGACACGGCCGTGTCTCGGTGAATAGTTGTACCGTGTTTTCTTATGTCGTAGTCTTCACATCTACGCACCGTGCCCGCGCCGAGCCCGAGTGACACCACCGCACCGCGTCCGTACCGTGCGAGATTAGTTTTGTTTAATTTTTGACGGGCACGGTGCGTTGCAGAAATGGAGAAACTGATAGAAGAAGTCAAAAAGGTAAATTGTGTCATTCTAAAATATTCGTAAAATTTGGTATCATCGTCCATTAAGTGGGGAAGCAACGTGCGGAATTCGCCTTCAACGTGTCTTGCTTTCCAAGCGTTGTGTACCCAAATTTTCCGTCGTTTTGCCCTATTTTCTTCATTTTCCTCCTCATCGTCCAAAGCAATAGCTATTGCTGCCAATTCTCTGTTACTGAAGCTGGCGAACATTTTACTTTCTCTCACGCACACGTACAGGCAGGAAGCCAACTGACGAAGTGACAAACTACCGACCGCACTCGTAGTACGACCGTCATGCGGCCGTGTGTTGGAAATGTGTGGCTTTTACCTTATTGAGCGACACACTGCCGTGTTACTGCACGGACTCGGTGCGGGCTCGGTGCGGATACGGTGCGGTCATGTGTGTCCAGACCTTAAAACGTGGTCTAATCACATTTGTTGACTGAGACGTTCGGGGAATCCCAGACGGCAAGTCGGTAGAGACCATTGTCGTTCCTGTAACTACCCAAATACTTAAATAAAATGTGTTGAAAGATTCAAGGCTGTTCGATGTAGTGGATATATTATTATTTTTCATTCTGATGGTCTATTAAATTTAAATATTAATAAAATGCTAAATTAATGGATATGTTTTTCTACTCATGATTATTGCAACTATCCATTTTATTTATTGGCAACGCAAGATTCCTTGTGAATTTTATAAAGAATACCTGTTTTTTTCTGGTTCTAAACTAGGGATAAGATCGCGCTTTATCTTCATTTCTAATTTCTAAAGATATGTACTACACATCAGGATGATTCTAGTATATGAATAATCAGATGTAGGTACTACCGTACTACTTACCACTTAAGTACCTACAAAAGCATCTGACAAAAAAAATACTTTGTGTAATTTTTCTTAATTAATATTTGTTTTATTTGTCTAATACATACTTTAATATCTAATAATAAAAGATATCTTTTGATAGATTAAGTAGCTTTAGTTCATTTATTTGAGAAGGACTAGTTTACCTAATTATACAGGGTATGTTTATCAATCGCGCGGTGGTCTGAGTGGACAATATCTCCTAAACTACTTCATTACATACTAATGGAGAGATCCAGTAAAAAGTTCCGTTATCAAGAAAAAAAAATTCCCAAAGATTACCTGAAGTAAGTTTATTTTTTTTATTTTATTTTATTGGTACATCTTACAAAGATCAAATAATATTGATAACAACATGCAAGAGATGCCTTATATCTAATAAAATCTACTGCCTAGAGCTTACATTACTATAGCTATTACAAACACTACAAATATAAAAAAGTATAAAATAAGATAAATGGTTAACAAACAACAATAATATATCTATATAATGCTCTGTGTAGTTAACGACATCAGTAAAGTTCAAAAAGGGATTAAAGTTTTTTAACATCCACATTGCACACGTCAATATCATGCTTATTAATTAGTATATTGCACTTATGCTGCATTGACATGATTAGAGACCAATCAGACATATCACAGTGAAACAGATTAGCATTACTTATACGTAAATTTACCTTAGGAACATGGAATTTTATATAATTAATAAAGCAACATAATTTATACTTAATATTATTGACTACATTAATATATATATAACACAGAATCCAGTCTACGCCTTATTTCTAGTGATTGAATATTTAAAGATGTTAAGCATACTTTTATAAGATACAAGATGGGGATAAATTATTATACTTCCTATGGTATAAATATCATATCTGAGGAAACGCTTTTGAACCTTCTCAATTTTATCGATGTTGCATTCTGCCTCTGGTGACCAAACTAAACTACACTGGCATATTCAAGGTGGGATCTAACTAATGCGTTGTATAATCTTATGACTGTATCAACATGTTTAAAGTGTTTCGTATTTCTAATGACAAAACCTGAAGCACGGAGGGCTTTACTGATGACATAATGGTAATGATCATTAAATTTCAGGTTGCTTTGAAAATTAACCTCTAGATCCTTACATTTTTTTGCAGTGGTACATAATTTATTGTATATGTAGTATTTATATAATTAATTTTTCGGGTATATAAGTAATGACCAGACACTTATTGATATTAAGTATCATTGTGGTCTTGAAACCAACCAGCTACAGAATCCAGGTCATCTTGCAACTTTATACAGTCCCCTTGAGA